GAGCTGGGATCGAACCCGTGCCTCTGTGCCTCTCCAGTGCGCCAATATTGGTACTCTGAACTTTAACCACTGGGCCACCCTGCCCAGTGGTTACCACCCTCACCCTCAGTGGTAACCACTGGGCCACCCTCATGTTTGATCTTGTGGGGTGGGACAGAGTGATCGTCAAAAATTATTCGAATTAGAGTATCACTAAGTTCGTTCATTAACATTTGTGTACATAATGCTAATATCGAGCACATCCACATTACACAACGCGGAATTAATTTTCCCAAACATTAAGTAACTCATGTCGCAAGTCTATCAACATTCCTATTTTCCCGCATGAAATTATTTTCCCATTTTTACAAAATCTTATTGAAGCTTTTAACCTGCAAAAACATTCTATGAAATCCATCAAGCACCCAAAAGTTCACAGCCCGTGTAGTTGCTCCACCTAAACCGCAACGATTGACGTCGTAAAGAATACTTTTGTCTGCCCTCGATTAACAATTTTCTAGCCAAGTTATAATTTGAATAAATATATTCGTGAGACTCGATCGTTATCAGGCTAAAAATTTAAAAAATAATTGTATTGCAATATTTAATGTTATGTGTGTGAAAATTCGGAAAATTAACGCAAAAGCAAGATTGCTACAATCAACTGCATGATAGTTAATGGTGGCACTTTCTTTTTATTTCTAAAAAATGTGATAAATTAATGTATGTGCTTGTCGACCACTGAGCACCAGCATTATTATTACATTTTAAAGATTAGCTTAATGTTCCTGACTTCAAAAATAGGTTACTTTGTTTTGGTTCCTTTACCTGTATTTAAATTGCAATCGGTCAACATCTACCTGTACTTGGACCTTAATTTCTTCTTAACCCTTCTTCACAAAAGTACGTGGTTTAATATATAGCTAGATTTCAAAGGTTCTCCATTCTGATGAAAAACATGAATATCACGATGTAATGCCAATATTAATGTATGAAGTTGTAATCGTGGTATAAAAGCTATGTACGTAACTATTTTCTGGAGTGGTTCTGCATGAGAAAAACTTCAAAGTCTCAATGTCGACTTTCCCGTTTCTTCTTCACAGCTTGATTGAGAGGAATATTTTTAGCGAAGTGTTTATTTACGTTGTGAATCCGATTGAGAGGAATATTTTTAGCGCATTAAAATCACTTGGCTGCTTAAGTCGCAAATTTACCAGGAATTTAAAAGTAAAGAAAATAGCCAAAAATTTCACCATTTCTTATAAAATAAAACGTTTCGGAGTCCAGCTTATCGTCAGTTCAAAACCTAGAACACAGGTAGAAACAATTAGTAACCTAAAATTCACATTCAAACATTTCACCTAAACTTGAGGATATTAGAACTTTGTTTGTACCTGTGTTCTAGGTTTTGAACTGACGATGGAGCAGGACTCCGAAACGTTTTCTCTTATATGAAATGGTGAAATTTTTGGCTATTTTCTTTACTTTTAAATTCCTGATTTTTAGCGAAGTGTTTATTTACGTTGTGAATACGATTGAGAGGAATATTTTCAGCGCAGTGTTTATTTACGTTGTAAATACGATTGAGAGGAATATTTTCAGCGCAGAATGTGTACTTACGCTGAAAATCCTGTTAGTCTTCTTCTGGCGTTTTCCGGGAGTCAATGATTGACTTACTCTTATTGGCATCGAGAGACTTTTTTCGGTGTCGTCAGGATTACTAGTGAAATACAGGATTATAGTTTAATGAAGGCTGGCAATTGAAAAATATAATTAAGCTTTCTAGGTATATCTGATTTTCAAACATATTATGCACTCGTGTTTTTTTATTACATATTATACACTCGTAATTTTTTCACGGGTTTTTTAACCTAATGTTTCTATAGCGAAAACTTAGGAGAGTCAGAAATTACTGTGCAAATTTATCAGTAAAAGTATTATGTTTTGATTAAAAACTTAAAGTTATGATGAAAGAACTGGAATACTTTTCTTAGAGGCTCGCGCCATAACCAATAACTATCGCTTATAAAGTGGGATCTCTACCATACTCAAGATATATGTTAATTTTATACCTGGACATATTTAGTTACGAACTCAGTACTCAGTCGACAAGGATACAAAACTGATTTGCACGAATTATTTCCTTTATTTCGCTCAAATATTCAAGCTCTCCAAAAGTTGACCATCTAATATAGGTAGGATTCCTTACATTAAATTATTATGTAGGTAGGATTCCTTACATTAAGTTATTATGTAGGTAGGATTCCTTACATTTCCCTTTTCTGTCTCGTGCGGGCGGCCGACGTCCCGTGCAAGCGATCTCTTGTTCGAGTCTTAGTTTCTTTTGCTTTTCACCTGCCTCTCCTTGTCACTTCGTCTTCTCGAGATGCTATTATATTTCCTATTGTAGGTGAGGAATGATTTTTTGATTTAAGAAACTTTAAATAATTGAGACCTTCCACCCTGTTGGTGATGTACATCTTGACTTTCGGTGCGAGATAGCTAATTAGCTGAAGCGCTAGTAAACCTGTGGCAACTAAACCAACTAACTAACCATATCCTTCAATTGTTGCTGCTTCTGTTGTCCTTTCACGAGTTAAGCCTGAAATGTTTCATATGTCTGAATATGCGTAAACTTTTCTTCAGTCACCCATGAATTATTCCCGAGAAATTTTAAAATTTTCCCAGATCGAGGTGCTGATGTAGACGCAGCTTACCTTGACAGGCCGCGTCTTGTGGCAGATCTTGCCCCCAGCCAGCATCGAAAAATTCCTGCTAGTTACTGTAATGTCTCAATTCCAAGATAATTTGAACTTTCTTTTTAACACGTTTTTCTTAGCTTAGCTTCGCGTTTGTTTGTTTGTTTGTTGTTAACATTGACAACGAAAATTAGCCCACTTCTGATTGTTCTAGAGATCTGAAATTCGGCATGCAGGCTATTTTCGCCTAACAATTTCAGATACAATCATAAAAACTAGTAATTAGAGACCGAAATTAGTTTAATTGAATAAAGTATATATATAGTATATATATAGTATGGCGTGCGGGCGCTGACGTTATAGACGAGCAGGCGCTGACGCTGCGTATCATCGATACGTACGTCAAGTCATACTTAATCAAGTCTTAATCGTTTTTCTTGTGGACTAAAAAGTAGAAAATAAAATACTTAAAAAAAACTTTTTAAGAAACACGTTTTTCTTGTGGACTAAAAGGTAGAAAATAAATTATGGTTCGCCCCAAAAAAACGTGGGTCGGGCTGTACGTTCACCATCAAATTTCCAAAATTAAAGTGTTGTGTGCTTTTCGCTTTAATCATAAATCTGCCCGACACACGTTTTTTTGGGGCGAACCATAATTTATTTTCTACCATTTAGTCCACAAGAAAAACGTGTTTTTTAAAAAGTTTTTTTTAAGTATTTTATTAAACTCACAGCTTGATTGTGTTTTCTGTCAACAATAAATCATCTAGCGAGAATTATGCAACTCCAAAAGAGGCAGGAAAGCTAGCACTGGAACTATCAAAATGACTAGAAGTGAGGCACGGAAAATGCTCCGAGTCAGCTCTCCAGCAGGTAGGATGTTATTGTTCTTATAGCAGGTAGGATGTTCTCAGGCATGTTCTTATGAGGAATTCTTGACATTCTTAGGAGCATCATTAGGATCGTGCAGTGGAGGGAGACACTGCAGGATTGTGAAATGTCTGTGTGTTGTGATGTAACAATGTTTTTAAATATCAGGGGTGGTTGTGAGACGACGAGAGGAGCAGAAGAGACGTTAGGGGCATACGAGGAGAGGACGCGGGACGCGAATGTCTCAGCACCGGACTCGTGGGCGACGGCAACGGTGCGTGCTCACGTCGACGAGACGTTAGGGTCATTGAAGTCCAAGGCACAGAATTTGGTGAAGACCTGGCTGGAAAGCAGCTCGAAGGAGGAATTGACTGACGTTGCCTTCTTGGGCGAGCAGGTGTTGATGAACCTTTTCGTTAAGTACAACACAGCCATCCCATGCAGTGCTGCAGTTGAGCGCCTGTTTTCCATAGGCAAGGACATCTTGAGTGCCAAGAGAGCCACCCTGTAAGATGCCAACTTTGAGAGGCTGATGTTCATGAAGGGCAACAATCATCACCTCGAGGATATGAAGGCGAAGGGCAAGCCAGAGTAAAAGGAGTGTGTAACCCTGGTGTAACCTTAACATTTCTTATTCGTTTAATAAACTGTATGTTGAATGTCAACTACTGCCTAATTTCATTTCATTCATTTTGTTCATTTAATTATTTATGTTATGTACATCTTGATAATCAGATCTTGGCATGCTACATCTTTTTGGAAAGCTCCTTTTCAAGGCAAAAGTTCAGCTCTCTAGGCATGTTTTTCAGAGTTCCCTCCCCCCACCCAAAAAAGTAAGCCAAATCTAAATTTATATATTAAAAGTTAGCGGTTAGCGGCAAATTCCGCTACATTTTTTGGTGATTTATCGGTTTAGCGTTATCGAAGCTAACTTTTCAGTTAGCGGTTTAGCGGTTATCGAAGCAAACTTTTGGGTTAGCTGTGCCCACTACTGGTTATAATACCAAGGGTGCAGGTAAATTCGATTCTTGTTAGGCAATTAATTGATAAATGTAGCATACGAACTTGAATCTCAACCAAAGTCGAGATATGTGCTAAGTTTACATCAGCGCAGTAGTTGTAATAATTCGAGAGTTATGGAATTATTACAGGTTATTTTATTATACAGGACAACAGCAGGGTCGAGTAAGATTAAACCACCGAATTAAATACGCATTATTTAAGAAACAAAAATAGTTTAGAAAGAATGATGGAAATGTCAATTTTAATGGTCCAAATTTAATAAATATTTCAAGCTAAGTAAAGAAGAAATGAAAAATGACCTGAAATAGCCTCAAAAGTCGTTCTGACCAACAAGACTTGACACGCGATAATTAACCTCTAGACCATAGGCGCGGTGGTCATTGGACACGCAACTGCCATCATTTTAAATGTATAAATAAAAAGCAAATAAGCAAATGCAATAAAATCTTACCAGGGAGCATAAAGCAGTGAACTGAAAAAACTTATTATGTTACTATATTTTAAGGAAAAAACTAAACAAAAATTCAAAAATTAACATACGGAAAGAAGTGCAATTATTAATTCAGTTGTTAGTCAGTGATACGCGGCACAAATTTGGTCCTTTCGAGCAATTGACGGCAAACCAAATAGCAGTAAGAAGACAAATTGATGACACGCATCACACAAATAAAAATGGTAGTCGACAAAGATGAAAGCTAAAAACAATGCGACCGTGTATATGAACGAGGAAAGCTAAACATTTAAAGTCTACTTTGACTACAAGAAGTTCGACGGTTCAATATCATGGAAACAGGACTTTTTCTAAGCTATCACTGCAGTCGTTCCACTTAGGGAGGGCACAACTAAGAGTAAATCTAATGGTGTTCACATCTGAGTAAAGATTAAAATTCAAATGGTCTAATCAGAGTAATATGGAAATTTGATAACTAGCATGACGATCTAACGGTGCAGTGAGTTTTAATCGACCATTCACACGGCTTGCGGTTTTGGCAGTGACAAGAGCAGAATTATAACAATCGCAATACCAATTTTACAACGAGATGGTTTTCTATTCCAGAAACAATCCGTTTCCAGTTTCTAAATCAACATAACTAAAACTATCTACGACATTCCTAAAATTTGTTTAATAACGATAATCCAAGCTGTCTAAAAAAAAAGTTATTCAGATAAGAACAACACTAAAATAAATTAACTGCAGACATAATTAGAAGCATCCCTAAATTATTCATTGTAGAGATAAAAGATAGCACTAGAAAATGTTCACCTTTCAGATAAAAGACAGCCATAAATACATATATTCGGTATTGATATGTAAGTAAGCTTTCAACTAAAAATCAATACAGAGATGCTAAGTAACTCTATAATGTATTCGCTGTTGATATGAATGGAAGTCTTCGTATAAAACTTAACACAGAGAACTAAGGCAGCCCTACATTAATTTACTTGAGAGACTCCAAGTAATCCTGAATATATCTAGGATAGAGAGTAGGATCAATGACAGTTTGGAAAGACATCTAGGGAATAACTTCAATTGTAATCACGGTCGGCGCTTTTGCAAAAAATATTGCAGGAGCCTGAAAATTCGGAGCCGAGTGCTTATTAAGATTTTATGCTTAAATTTCTCATAGAAAAATCAGAGTAATCGGGTATAACAAATTTCGAAAATTCACGATTTTTTTAGATAGGGAAATACATTTCCCACAGCTAAACATTTAAGGATGAGTTTCAGTAAAGATTCTTAACCTTAACTTGGAAATTGATTTGACATACCATCTAACATTCATGGAAACGTTTCGTTGAGACTCTAAAAGGCACGAGATCAGTTTTCAGTCAACAACAACTAATGTATAGACTATAGACGAAGTTTACGGATAACCTAGAGCTTAACAAATTCTAACTGTAATAAGAATGCATTTTTGTCACATTTAACACTGTTAAGGGCAAACCACTGACTTAATAATTAACCCAACTGACTCATTATAATGCATTTTTGTGGCCCTTGATACAGTTAATTGCAAATGCCTCTGACTTTAATTAGAACACATTTCTGTTGATCTTAATACAGTTGAGAGTAAATAAATGCCTTAAGAATTTTGGTCGCTTTTGACACAGTTCAGGGCAAACGTCCTCAAGACATTAATCATGATGCACTTAGGCCGTTCTATGCACGGTTGAGAGCAATCGCCTCTGGATGTAATTATGATTAATTTTTGTCGCTAGTGACGCAGTTCAGGGCAAACGTCCTCAAGACATTAATCATGATGCAATTTGTTCCATACACGGTTGCAGGCGAACGCCTCTGAGTGTAATCATGATTAATTTTTGCCGCTTTTGACGCAGTCGAGGGCAAACTTGACGTCCTGCACGGAGATGTTGAGGGAGATGCGCTGACTGAGGTGACGTCGGGGCGACTCTGTGATGAACAGGCGTCGCGCTGAAAGTTTGTTCACAGCAAGGATCACGTTCGAAAACGACACATGTTTCAGCTTACCTGTTAATGATAACAATGGAAAATTAATCAACCCTAAAAGGTCAAATGACCAGTATTGTATTATTACACATGACGAATCATATAATACGAAGTTTTTTTCTCTACTTCTTATGCCGCTTCATTGCTACGTCAATGCATGACCATCTCAGGCAAACGGCTGACAAGCAAATATTATTACCATTTTTAAAAGTTAACTTGGCAATTTTTGTGGCTTAACCTATTCATATGAGACAAATAAGGTTATAATTCTTAAACATTTAGAAATATTGAAATCGGTGGTAGTAGCTTGATACAACCTAGTAAACGGCAAATGGTCAAAGACATATTATTTTGTCTCTAGAACGGAAATATTCTCAAAGTTCTCCACGTGCAGAATTCCAAGTTCGAAATTTGCTGTTGCGCCGCGGAGGATCGAGGCATCAAGTTGACATGAGGCCGAGAAAAAAAGCTCATTCCATCAAAGTGATCAAATTTTGCTTTGGGTTTCTTGTCATCATAAATTGTTTAGCGTCCTACGTCACACAAATGTATATATTGCTTCGCAAGACGAAAAGCTGCATCTGCCGCTACTATCTAGATAATAACCAATACATAGGACAATTTCTTCGTTCCAAGCCTTCCAGTTCATCCATAATTAATAAAACCGGAAGAACTACAGGTAATCTATAATTAATAGTAAACTGACACAGTATAAATGGATTAATTGGAGCATAAGAAAGATACTTTGAAGTTTAAACTATCCTATACATTAGATACGAGATGGGCTATATCGGCATACATAGATACATTAGAAGATACATTGGGTTACAAAGATACATTAGAAGATACATCGGGCTACATAGATACATTAAAAGATACATCGGGTTACATAGAAACATTAGAAGATACATCGGGTTACAAAGATACATTATAAAATATTTCGAAACTCTAGGACGTGTTACCATCAAAGGCGCAGAGAGACAAGAACTGGGAGTAGAGCCGCTCCAGTGACGTCTCCTCCAGCCCACTGCGCTGATTCTCTGCCACTGCAGCTGCCAGCAACTGCTGCTCCACTGCACTGCATTCCCTGCAACACAGGCAGGTGTAATTACGAGTTATTAATGCTTATTGCAGTTCTCAATATATACTAGCTACAGTTCTCATTCTCTGCTAAATGAAAACTAAACACTTCCTACTTCATTTCTTACTTTTCTTATAATTCAAAGGTTCAGACACAAATATCTAAGGTAGACCAGAAAAACAATTTTCTAGGAAATGTCTCACTTTGGAACAAAAAATTACCTAATGGCCATTATTTTAGGCGAAGTGAACATTTCGGCGAGTGCAAGATTGACGTGCTTGAAGCCCACCACCCCCGGGGGTGTCTTGGTGTCCTGGGAGACATCGATGAGGGTCTCGGCGATCTCGGCCGCCCGTCGGCAAATGTCGAGAGCCCGACGAGCGTCGCCCGACACGGCGGCCACTTTACGCGCGACCAGCTGGATGGCGTCGCTCTCGAAGCAGGCGATGCCCGCCAGGCGACTCTGCACGATCTCCTGTAGGCGATCAAACACTGTAAACGATCTCCTGCAGCCGAGACAGGCGATCAAACACTAAACGATTTCCTGCAGCCGAGACAGGCGATTTAACACTGTAAACGATTTCCTGCAGCCGAGACAGGCGATTAAACACTGTAAACGATTTCCTGCAGCTGAGACAGGCGATCAAACACTGTAAACGATTTCCTGCAGCTGAGACAGGCGATCAAACACTGTAAACGATCTCCTGCCGCCGAGACAGGCGATCAAACACTGTAAATAATCTCCTGCAGCTGAGACAGAAGATCAAAAACTGTAAACGATATCCTGCAGCCGAGACAGGTGATCAAATAGCACATGGGTGAACCTGAAGATATCTGTCCGAGGTGGTGGTGAAAAAGTGGTACAAAGCCATGTACACGTCTGTAGCTGGTCGTGGGTGTAGGGGGAGACATCACCCACCTGCAGCTGGTGGTGGGTGTAGGGGGAGACATCACCCACCTGCAGCTGGTGGTGGGTGTAGGGAGACATCACCCACCTGCAGCTGGTGGTGGGTGTAGGGAGACATCACCCACCTGCAGCTGGTCGTGGGTGTAGGGGGAGACATCACCCACCTGCAGCTGGTCGTGGGTGTAGGGGGAGACATCACCCACCTGCAGCTGATGGTGGGTGTAGGGAGACATCACCCACCTGCAGCTGGTGGTGGGTGTAGGGGGAGACATCACCCACCTGCAGCTGATGGTGGGTGTAGGGAGACATCACCCACCTGCAGCTGGTGGTGGGTGTATGGGTGGAAGGTGGTGCGGGTGAGGCCCAGCCTGGAAGACACTCTGGCCACCAAAACGCGCTCCGGGAGGTCCATGGTGTTGGCGATGGTCACCAGCACGAGGCGAGTGCCGGGCAGCGATGGCCACTCGAACAGGCGGTACAGCACGTCCTGTGCCACAAACATGGCGACTCAATCAATAGACATGAAATGTTAATGTTTTACATCAAACAGTTTTGGGAAACAGAGGACATTGAATTAACATTACAAAGAAGCTGCAAATTTGTCTGGTCTAGCCCAGCACTCGCCTGTTTGCGCGTCCAGAGGAGATCGAGCTCATCAACGAGCAGCAGCAGCGGCGGCTCCCGGGGGTCGGGGCGACGGAAGCGACGGTCGAGCAGCGCGGCCGCGTGGTCAGGGGTGACGCGCGTCTGTCCCGTGAGCGCCCTCCACAACTGCACCCACGCCTGCCGGGGCTCGGTGAGCTTCAGGGCGTTGAGCTCAACGTACGTGAAGGACGGCACGTCGCCCGACGCAGCGCTCGACTGCAGCAGGCGGACCACCTCACGCACCGTCGCCGTCTTGCCCGTGCCAGGTACGCCGCTTATATACCTGCCGCATGAAGAAGTCAGTTCCAGGCTCCGTACTGGACGAAATACTGCCAGTGAAACCCCAATTTGGTACCAGAGACCATTTCCAGTTAGTCCCTTTTCATTCCAAGCTAGACCAAATTTAGTCACAGAATGAAAATGTCTAGTTGGCCTCAAGTCCCAAAGTAAGATTCTCAGTGAGACCCAATTCAGTCCCGTATACGGTCCTAATGAAAACCTATCTAACATAAGGGACGAGGGGTTTGAGTCACATGGGAGGAGGTTTCGCTCAAAAAAGCCAGGACTATGAAGGAGTGATATTCATAGAGTGCATGAGATTGTAAGACACGCACATACAGCCGCCAGTGCCATCACAGAGTTTGGTTTGGATGAAGTCGTAGAGCTGTTGACACTCGTTCTCCCGACACGGCAACGACTCAGGCACCGCGGAGGCGTGCAGACGGTCCTTGGCAATGTCCAGAGAGCTCAATGACTTCCGGAGGCTGGCACAGTCAATGCCACCGCTGGAAAATAAATGCTCAACTTCACATACATATTTTTTAAATACATACGGCCGTCCCCGAAATAAAGAAAATTGTTGGACGCTGGTAATGCCGGAGCAGCTGCAGGTAATATAATACTATTCATATCAACAAAGCCCATTTTTTATAGACATTCACAGTTCATATCACTTTTTTCAATTCATCATATTTCAAAAATGTGATCTACTAAATTCAGAATTTATTTAGATAACAGATTTACATTATACAGAGTAGCCATATCAACAATAATCACCATTGAAAACCACTGTCCGTAACTCAACAATCCTCTAAATAACTGTCATCATTCTAATGCCCTCCACGGCTTATTAAAACAGGAAAACCACTCTGGTTCGTTTAAAAATCCCCAAAACAACCGTCACTATTTCAATATGCAATATCATATGCCGCTTAGGGAAATGGAAAAAAAAAAACACTCACTGTTTCGAAGAAGTTGTTGACTCAGAAATATCTGCTCTGGCCTTTCGAGCCCTCGTGGGCGTGGCATTGAAGGTGCACAGCTCCTGGTGTTCAGCCAGCATTTCTCTCTTAAGGAAAACGCTTCCACAGTTGCGGCAGGTAAAACCTCTTGTTCGTTTCCCGGTTAAACTGTTGTCTCTTTGCACATCGCCCAGTATATCATCATCTTCACTCTCATCGTTGTCTGTGTTAGCTTTTGCTAGTTTTGCTTGCCTTTTCGGTCGTCCTCTGCTTCGGACCCTGCACAAAAATTGCCACAGATTTGAAGAATCACAGTTGCCAGTGAATATAACTAATACAACATCTGCTGAAACTTTAACAATAACAGCAAGAATCAAGGTTAAAAGCTCTTAGTACCTGACGTAATAAAAAGTATTAGTCGAATTCTCTCTCATTGGAAACTTCATTACAATACACAGCAACTTTGAAGAAGCTCTCATGAAAATTTACCTCTTGAGCGGTGAAGGAGTGTCGTCGGAGGAGACCTCGTAGATGTCGTGCTCGTCCTGCAGATGGTCGTCGAGCGACTGCTTCGTCCTAAAACCCTGGGAGCATTCGCTGCACTGCAGACTTGGGGTCCTGTGGCCCAGTGCCAAATTCCGGGGAGTGCCACGGCGTGGAGTGGCACCTCGACGACCACGACGTGGAGTGGCGCCTCGTAGAGTGCCTTCAGAAGGAGGGCATCTTTGTGAAGTGACTTTGAGAGGAGTCACTGTTAGAGCTCTCCTGGTCTTTGAAGTGCCTCTTAGGGCTCTCTTTGGAGGCGTCTCTTCGCAAGAAGAGCTACTTTGTGAGCCACGTTTAGGAGTTCTGTGAAGTGGAGTGCCAGAACTATGATGAGGATCATTGCCGTTTTCTGCAGTTGATTGATTATTTTGATATGGCGCGTCAGAACTAAGTTCTCTGTTTGTGTTGTATTTCTTGGGAGTGCTTCGGGTCTCTCTCTGATAGTTTCTAGAAGGAGAGTTGGACAAAGATTTCCCACTCACTCTCGAGCTTTGTGAAAGACCCTTTCCATTTGCCGCATTTTTGAATTTACCAGATCTCTCACTGACTGAAATTTTTCCATTTGATTTTTCATTTAAAAACGTTTGACCTACAGCATTCTTTTTTTCATCAACGGCAAGGCATTCAAGATTTAAGGCGAGCTCTTTGCTTGGACTAATAGATGAATCATCACCAGTAGAAGAGGAGGTCGCCATATTGAGTTGGCTGGCAAGATTTTTCTTGGCAGACAGAGAAGGACCATGAGAAGGCGAGTCTGTTGACAACCGACGATCTGCCAAATCATGACAAATGGCCGAGTATCGTCTACCGGCAATTGACAAACGCGTCTTCTTGGCAACTCCCGAATCATAGAACGAAATGCGTTTTTGTTGTTTCTTATCAAACTCTGGAAATAAGACACCAAGTTAGTTGACTTGAAACAAAAGTTCTTGGAGTGATTTTTTTTTTGTGTGTACAATCTACATCAAATCAAAACGACAAATAAAGTGAATATCTAAGAATACTTCAAACCTTTGATTATTTTATTCTTACCAGAACCAGGAGGGATGTTCTCTTTTCCAGGTGAATACAGCTTTAGAGACGAGCAGCTTCCCTTCCTAGGAGATTTAAAAAAATGAATAAGAGTTTAAATTTTTATTATAAGGAAATTAACAACTGTTTCTAAGGCTTCCTTCTTGATTGAAATCAATTTCCATTATCTTTGAGTACCTACACTATTACGCAGTATTCATACTGAATTTAATCTTAAAGGAGCTCAATGAAAGTCAACAATATCAGATGTAATTTGTCAATTTCCAAGGGAGTGGCTGTGGAATGACAAAATAATTATAATATATCATCTCGATTCAGACCAAAACTAATATTTTATTTATAAAAATGTAATGGATTAAACAAATTGATTTCACTAGCCTTCAGTTCCATAATGGTTTGATTTTGAAAAGTCTCTTTTATTGATACATTATTCAGAGTCATTATATAATAGATTATCCATGTTTTAACTTTCCAGCTGTAAAATTTTGGGTGAAAAATACGACATTTTTTATAGAAAATTTTGTTGTTTATATTTTGTTCCAAATATTGCATATGGAATTCTTGCTCATGAGAGTCCCTCAAAAATCTTTCATGATTTTAATTGCTATTCAAGTTAATTACCACATCAAATCAATGAGGAAACTGAGACTAAGTTTTTCAATGAAGAATAAATGTGGTAGGTAAAATAAAGTTCAATCATACAAAAATTTTCATTAATAATTTACATAGCAAAATTTTCATCTGCTCCGACTTAATACATCAGAAATTTAAAGGCAAGAAACCTTTATGAATATAATTTAGGCCCTATGGCCACACTATTAAAAAATGCTCGAGTTTTTAACTCGGTCAGCCAGTCACTGACAACAGTTCAAGAAAACACATAATGAATCAGCCACAAGTACTTGAGCAGCTACATATGTTTTGGCTGCCAGGTGTACTTAGATCACTACATGTACTTTAAGGAGTTTTGATGATACAGCTTGAGTTTCATATAGAAGCAGGAGCAGTGAGCAAACTCACACAACACTCACCTGAACTGAGGTAGGGGCACAAGACCAGCAGGGGTTCCCTCCATCTTGCCTTGCACCATAAACCTGAGCGATAACAGAAACAACTTCAATTGTGACACGAAACACACATAAACGATGTAAAATTAAGTAAATATTTGTAATAATAAACATGAAAAGAATAACTATTCAGAGCATAAATGTGAGAAGAATAAACAATGCATAGGACAGGGTTGGCAATGATTAAATCATGTGATTAAATCACTTGATTTTTTTATAAAAAATCGTGATTTTTTTATTTTTTCGATTTTTTCATATATTTAAATATATTGAGTGGCAGTCTTTAATTTATATTGAGGTATTGTTATTCATGGTTTAGTACGGTATAAGTGTACTATGAATGACAAATTGGTATATAAACTTGTTGCCTTTAGTGTGTATTAGGTTCCAATAAATTAAATGTTTTTGGTACAGAGGCATCAAGAGTGCAATACATTGTACATAGCTAGCAGCTTAGCTAATTCTTATAAGGCTATAAGTAGTCTTTAACAATTTGACTAGTTGTTATATATTGATTACAATATACAATTTAAATGTGTTAGCTAGCTTATACAGGGTGGGGCAGAACTGATTGAACAGTTTTGAGGCGAAATAACAGAGTATTGGAGGTACATAAAGAAGAAAGTTTATTTTCCTAGAGATTAGCATAACAAACCATCTAAAATGCTTATGTTTTGAAAACAATATCAGGAAGATGGGGTTTGTTAGCGGCATCACACTGTTGGAGTTGTTCTCGGAAGTTTTCTAAAGTAGGTTCACACATATGGCGAGGTATGGCCATAACATCTGCTGCAATAATCCGTTCCCTTAGCTGTGGTAGAGTGTGAGGGCGACTTCTGAACCCCTTTCTTTTAGATGTCCTCAAAGAAAGAAATCGCAAATGCTCAAATCAGGTGACCTCGCAGGCCACTGTAAATCACCCCTCAGAGTCTGGGAACATGCGTTTCAAAACATTGAGTGACATTCGGGCTGTGTGAGCTGTAGCCCCATCCTGCTGGAACCAAACGTCTCCCAATGCTTCATTTTCAACAATGTTTTCGTCCATCATGGGCTGCAAGAAATTTTGCAACATTGCAACATAGCGATCGGAATTCACTGTTACAGTTACTCCCTCCTCTGAGAACTACTCCAACAGTGTGTTGCTGCTAACGGCCCCCATCTTCCAGATATTGTTTTCAAAACATAAATATTCTAAATGATATGTTATGCTGACCTCTAGGAAAATAAACTTTCTTCTTTATGTACCTCCATTACACTTTTATTTTACCTCAAAACTGCTCAATCGGTTCTCCCCCACCCTGTATATTGAGAGGTTGAGATTGTATTGACCTTTTAGGCAATTAGAAAGATTTTCCACCCTAATATGAGTAGGTATTCTAATTAAAATATTTAATTCCAATCTTTAAATATCTGAATTTAAAACTAGAAACAAGACAATTACAATTATAAGACGATATATAAAATGATTAAATGCAGTGAATGGATATAAAATATTTGAATTGTGCACATGTTTATTTCAAACAGTATTAGATTTCCTCATAACTTAAGTCTCGTTTCAAGTCGTATGAGGTTTGTTTGGTTATCGTTCAGTTTATGTTTAGTATTGATTTATTGGTCTGAATTAAATGGGTACAGTGCAGTCAGTCACTCAGTCACTACTAGTAGGTGTGTATAGAGGGGAGAGTCTGGTAGATTTATAGGACATAAAACTAGTAGATCTATTGATAGTGCTGTGCACTGTGCTATCAGCTACAGTCACTACTAGTCGGTGTGAGAGGGTAGAGTCTGGTAGATTTATAGGACATAAAACTAGTAGATCTATTGATAGTGCTGTGCACTGTGCTATCAGCTACCTATCTGTTGTGTGACTCTTCAATGTTTAGAAGATCTGCATTCCTGAAGTGTTTTTGTATACCTATTGAAGCCAGTTAAATGGTCAATATTTAGCTTATTACCTTGCTCCATACAAACTTTACAAAGCTAATGAATAGACTTACCAATAATTCTTTACCCAAAAATCCCTAAGTGGTAAACACTACCTTGGCCTGTTGGCCATTATTGAAGGCAATAAGTGCCCTTTTTAGCCATCCATTATGGTCTATATACTGTTATTGTTAGTAGGCTAATTGCAACATAAAAAATGACACTTCAAAAAGACAAAAAAGCTGAAAAAAAAACAAAAAAATCAAACAATTAAAAAAAATAATGAAAAAATAAAAAAAATCATTGATTTTTTATTTAAAAAAAAAAATAAAAAAAATCGCCAACCCTGGCATAGGATAAACAATGAAGATAATAACGATGCAGAGACTCAACTATGATGAGGGTAAAGAATGAAGAGGCATAAGAACTAAGAGAACATCTACCTATTATGAGGATAACTATGAATAGCCTAACTGTGGAGAGCCTAGCTATTGAGAACACGAGAAGACAATAATTACACATATGATAAGAGGGAAGAGTAATATTTATCACAAGATAACCTCTGAACATTATGCAATATCATGGCAAGACCACGAGATTAATGACCTGCAGACGTAGTGATGGAAGCCCCGGGACTCTGGTGGCCTCACCACCGACTTGGGACAAGTTTTAATGGAGCACTCAGTCACCTGCAGACAATTATACATCATATCATTGAAATAAATTATAAGGAAATGTATATATTTCAACTCATATAACATAGAAATACATCTGACTTTATAACACATTAAAATTTAATACAAATGATATTGTTACAAAAACAAATGGATATGGTACATATGACACTGCAACACATTAAAATTTAAAATAAATGAATCATTTTACAAATAATATGAAAATACAAATGAGAAAGACTTAGAGGCATGGATTAATATTGATAAAAATGTAGCGCATTTCATTAGCTTCTTTTTTTTGATTAGATTAATTAATAAGAAAGAGACATTTATTTTAATGGAATTACATAGCATAAGCTGATCACTGTCTCCAGGTCAATGTCATTATCAAAATTTCTTCCTTCCAGTGCCACTTCCTTGGTGCCATCGCATGGAGCGGAGCCTACAAACAACATAAAAGGCACAGGCTTTAAGGGACAACTCAACATGTGATTTTTCATGAGAACAAACAAGAACAAGAGTGGGTATCACAAAAAGATTTTAGGGTATAAATCAGGAAATACTTTTAAGCCAATGGGTCTGGTACAAATGTGCATTAAAAAGAACATTATTTTAAAACAAAGATATTCATGATAAAAAACATTTATGGCCAGATTACCTACTATTATATAAATAAATACTTATCACTTCATTTGATATCATTATTACTTTATTCAAATGCTATAATGATTGCAGCACAAAGTAAAAAATAGCAAATAAAAGTCTAATAAACAGATTTTAAATTAAAGAGAACAAATTAAAAGCCCAAAATTATGTTATCAGGATATTTACATTTAGAGGGTAATAAATGCATGCCATGAGCTCATAATATATTTATAATGATTTAACTGGTACCTGGAGGCAGGTTCTTGAGCCATTTGTCAGGCAAGTCCTCTAGGTAAGAATACCATTGTATTTGTCCTCGGAAGTTGTCCTTTTTGGTTCCTGCAGAGAACCAAAGTAATTATACTTCACAAGTATTGTCATTAATATCTCTGCAGAATTGAAAGCAGTTATATAGGTATATTTAACAGGATCTTAGGAGTATATATATACCTGTATTTATCTGTTTACTAGTGGCCCTTTGAGTCATTTTCATAAAAAATCCATCATGGTAGACAAAAATAATAAAAATAATTGCTTAGATTCAATTTCTACTAATATACTCTTAGCATAGTATTTTAATCAATTTTTGCCTTAATAAAATTTCGTGCATGGGTTCATCTGGCAACAATATTTTACAATACCTACAGTACATACATATCGTACACATCGGGAGACTTGTAGCCTAAATCTTTTACAAGCATGAATTACATAAATCAGAGTAAAAAAATAGCTGTGCAAACTCACCTGAATCCCAACAGGATATGAGCTGAGCCACACCCAGGTTATTCTTGCCACCCAACTCAATGAGCATGAACTGGCCACAGCAAACAGTCAAGTTATTCAGTGCAAAGCCCCTAAAAAATAAATGAATGAATTAGTAAGCATAATCATCTTATACTCTTACCATGCAAAAAAATTGAGCCATTAGTTTTCAGAAGATTTTCATGAATGATGATGAATTATTTCACAAAAAAGAGTTGATATAAAATAGTAGTTAGTTGTAGGCAATTGTGTTGCAGAATATTTTATTAGTTATAAATTATGTTCAGGAAGAAACAGCTTTATTGTAAGCATATCAGATATCCCAATAAATTGGAAAATAAAAAAACACATTGATATTTGTTCAAGTTGATACCTAAGGATACCTTGCATACCTTCTATGTTACAAGTTTATTGCCAACATTATTAAGATAAGCCAAAGATTCTCATTGAAGAATCTATGTGTTGGATCAAATAATGTTTGGGATAAACAAACAATTATTCAAAACACTACCGGTATGTTAAATTTAGATATTGGTGTGAAATCAAATAAACTAAATACATTACCCAATGATTAAAAAATTAAAGATGCCCTATATAGCAACATGTTTATCACTTTCAAGCAGGGTTGGCAATGACTAAATCAAAATAATTAAATCATGTCATTAAATCATTTGATTTTTTATAAAAAATCACGATTTTTTTGATTTTTTGATTGTAGTTATGGACCGAGGGGTTCCAATCTGATGAAGTGGAAAGAATTTTTCAAAAATTGCAGATAAAAAATATTGTTTACAAAATTATTTTCTGTCCAGTGTCCAATTTTCCACTTTCCAGTTTGACAGGGACTGCAATCAATTGAATCTGCCAAGATTAAAGATTGTGCTTTGCCAGCTTTGAACTTTTTTGAGCCAATTCACAATAGGTAGGTAAGGTAGCTACCATCTAGTACCAAATACCAATATATATACCTACTAGGTTAGCATATTTGATTTTGAGCTATCTTGTGCTTAAGTTTTTCATGTATAGAAAATACCCATCTATTATCTAAGCCATAAAAGTATTTTAAATCCATTAGCTTCTAAATTTTGAGGCAGTAAATTCTATATCATGAGTTTGTTTTTGGAACAATAAACCTACCCTACGGTCCTAACCTAACCTATATCTTATCAAAAGCATTTGAAAATTTAGATAAACACCAACTTATTTTTAAAGTAATGAAATTTATAGAAATTGTCAACTTTTTAAGGGGACCGATTGATAATTTTGATAACTTCTATAGTTATTATCCGATTGACATGAAACTTCACATACATACGTAAAATGTAAAAAGAAAAACATTTTGCTCCTGTGAATTTTTCGAAAAAATTGATAGAAAACGTGATATTCATAGAAAACGGACAAATAACGGGTACTTCAGAAAATCTATCTCCTACTACAAATATCATCCTACAACATCGAACCATTCACAATATAATTCTACTACTAGTCTACGTTCTGTTCGAAACGAACTATTGATAAGGCCATATGTATATGATGATAAGAATACTTACAGGTATCAAGCCACCATGCATCGCAGACCGGCGCCAAGCCTAGTTGTTGTGGAAACGGGATTAGGAGTTATCACCGCACAACCGCACGTGGCAACAACATGAGCTCAAATGATACAGTGATACATCGGCCGGTGCACTATTCTTTATCGATTTGCTGCCGACAACTGCCAACCGCTGGCTTGCACTTCCATCACACGTCACGTGACCCATTTCGGAGCCGCGACATTTCTAAATCAATATATTTTACCTGACTTCCGAGCCGCGAGATTTCAAACTTACATATAAATGGGAGATCTCGGGCCGCGAAATTTCCGTTAAAAGTAGATGTATTCCACCCCTGTACCCAATACAGCTCACACAGCAAACGGAATTCGAACACGTGGATGTCGGCAATACGGATCAGTTAAATTTGAAGCGCTGACGCAATACGACTCACTACGTGTCGGATGTTGCCACACAAAATGACGGAATATAGGGATTTTGTAGGTTTCCATTCTAAAGGCTTTTTAATAAATATGGCAACATTTTGTGATGTTTCATCGTTGCTGACGCGTAGTGAAGTGTTTTGAGAGTCATGTGAAGGCAACAGAACTTACGTAACCCCTCCCTTTTTTTTATAGTTTTTCATTTTTCGATGGGTCCTTAAAGTGTCGGAATATACCGCGTTTACCCTGTTTAAAATTTAGATAGGAGTGAAATCTTAAATATTAATGTAATTGAGAACACCATACGATTGTTTATGTTTACAATAAACTAGAGAGAATTATTTGACAGATCAGCTGACCAGGCAGAGCAATAAAAAGAAACAAAAAGATAAACTTACTGCAATGTTGATGGGCATTTAGGATCTCTTAACCACCTGCAGCCACTATCAGCTGAGTTGCCTGATTTCTCAGGTACCACACTCTTCATCATGAGTTTCAATATACTAGAAAAACGATTCAACACAGACACAGTTTATACTGAACATGAGTTACATGACGCCCACAAGACTGAGCAAGCGCGTTAGTTAGAAACGTAGTTTAGGTAGTTAGAACTTGCGGTGACCTTATTTCACGCATCTGCGATAGTGTTGTATTAATTAAGCCTACATCTACAATTGAATCTTAATTTCAGGCAATGGTATACACGTTTCAGGCTTTCAATGTGCTATTTTCTTAGATCAATAGTAAATTCTTTTAGATTTATTTCCTCTAAATTGAAAATGCAATACATAAATTCGACTTGCACTTGGCGGGAGACATGTTCAGCTGGTGGTGATCACTTGCAAGTAGTTGAATTTTTATCGAAAATGTTTTCAACATTTTTCTAGAATTTTCACAAAATTCTTGATTTACTTAATCAAAGTTGTTTAGAACTAAAACATTCACTATGACACAATTTTTTGTGAGTATTTTATCATTTAAAATAGAGTAACATGGAACAAAGTCATGCATTAGGTTGTTACTCCCATGGGAATTATAGTAATTCATTTAATAATAATATAACGGTTTCTGCGTTGATTAGGCTGAAGGCCTGTCGTCGATTCCTAACATTGCAGATCCTCAGCTTGTTGAGGACTTAAACTCGCATCTCACTGCTTCAATTTTGCTTTGCTCAAACGCCCGGCCTCCTTGCCGATTCTGATCAGAAACTAACGCGCAGAGCTGGGATCGAACCCGCACCTCTCTGCTCCAATCTTGGTCAGAACTGTAACCACAGGGCGATTTGTGTGATTTGATCATCATCATCCCAGCACTGCCACAAAACCAAACCTTAGTAATTTGAAATAACCATATTATTAAATATCGATCCGGTAACATCACGTAGGTGATTTGAGCTAGGCTTCACCATCGCCTTGTTATTCATTATTTTCAATATTAGCTACCCAGAGGTTTCACTTTCAGCGCTGGAAGCGACATTCAACCTGTAATCATTATAATGTATTTTCAATGTTTGTGCGTTTGAAATCTTGTACTAGAATATATAGGAGCCGTATAAGCGAAATACTAGAATAATTTCAGCGTCGGGTACTTAGAATACAATTAAAAGTTTATATAACATTGGCGTGGTGGAACTATGATTTATCAAAATTAATATGGGCGATAAAATGTGATTCAAACTTCTAAGAGTGATTTAAATTAACTTTAAAGCTCAAGAACTGAAAGCATGCTCAATTAAACTCGCGAATATACGTCACCGACCATTTATCCCATAAAATAACGACACATACCACTCATAACGTTAGCTTTCGACACCTACCAATTCATAATTGATACATTTACCGCTCATTCGGGAAACTTACGACACCTAAGAATGATACCGCAAACTTATTGCACTTACAAATCATCATGTAAACTAACGGTATTTAAAACGCATCCAGCAAAGCTCTGTCACCTACCTCTAGCCTAATGAACGTAAAACACATCAACACTCAACACATATTATAAGTACATCATTGGTGTACTTATAATAATAAGCAGGTTTCATTGAAGGCCAGATAATTTGTTTTGTTGACAAATTTCTTGTCAGTTTCATCAATATATCGACCAATATTTTTCGTTTGTGCTGGTCAGTAAAAAATCAGGGTACCGACGGACATTTTTAGTGCATTTTCTCATTTATGGAAAAATTGCACTATTGTGCTCGCCATGTCCGTCTGTCTGTCTGTCTGTCCGTCTGTCCGTCCGTGACCTCAATTTTTCGTCGACGAGAAAATGCGCTCTCTGTCACTCACTGCAGTGAGTACTGAGTTATATTTTTTTCTTTAATGACCTTTCGAATGTATCAATCCTTCATTAGCAAGTTACAAGACGCATTGAGTAAGGAAATTTGGATCGAAATAAGTACAAAATCATGTAAATTGGATGCTACTCGCAAATCAATTTGGTTGGAAATAATTGCCAATTCACGAAAAAATGAAGATGATCAAGAATTATAGCACCAAAAGTTACTCCGAAAACAGTCACAAGGTTCTAACAAATTTCAAGGTTGATGGATGGAGTTCCATCCTTAATGATGAGGGCCTCAGCTGTCGCGAGTCGGGGCATCGCATGACGACGCTGGTGCACTCCTCCAGCAGCGTATGAGTGATGGTCTCGTTGTGGGCCTCCATCAGGTGGTTCCTTGGTCCACCAGACTGAAGGTGGCACGTGAGACGTCGGCTTAATGTCGTAGTTGTGAGCCCGATTTAGTCTGCAATCTTGTCTATTGCAGGAAAATTTATATTTTATGTACATTATAATAATAATTATAGAAAGATATTAGTTCACCCATGTACCACTCAACTTTTAAACTAACTGTACCGGACGCCCACCAGTCAAATAATAATAATAATAATAGCGGTCAGTAGGCCATAGGCCTGTCGCCTATTCTTAACATCGCAGAACATTCACAGCATTTTGCGGTCTCGAACTCGCATTTCATTGCTAAAATTCTGCTTTGCTTCCGCTCGGCCTCCTTGCCGATTCTGACCAGAAACTGGCGCACAGAGCTGGGATCGAACCCGCACCTCTCTGCTCCAATATTGGTACTCAATGAACTGTAGCCACTGGGCCACCCTGCCCTGTGTCAAATGTCCTTACAGTCATAAGCATGCTACGTCTGCAAAAATAATTTGAAAAATTCTTGAAAATGTCCATCGTACAGTATTATAGTGAATGACTTGTATTTATGTTTTTTTAAATTAGTTCAAAATTTCCTTAAGCCAAACCTGTCAACTATAATTTTTTTTACATGTATAGTCTAGCACGACTGCACGGTCCATCTCTTCCTACAATCCGCTACCGTGTCTCCAACTAATGTATGTAGTGATTGAATTTTTAACGAATCAGTGTAATGATCTGCAAATTCTAGCAATAAATGAATGCCAAAGCTTAACAAAATTATGATGCTTCTCCTGAGCACGAGAATTTTATTTGAGTCTCTCCAGTGATTGGAAAATTTTTTGTGATAACTTTGGAGGTATACAATTTTATTCTTATTTTCAACAGTACATAATATATAGTATTATTTCAACCATGCATATATATATATTAGATTAGTGATAATAATTCAAATAATACTGACGATAATAATATTTTTTATCAATATTATTAATAAGAATAATGAAATTCCTAATTCATAATAATTAATCTAATTTCGTTTATATGCAGTGAAGATTTTGTTCCTCTTCCTCATATGAATGCAACAAACTCGATCTCGAGCAAGAAGACATGCCGCAATGGATATCGATCAGAATTTGGGCTAAATAAGTAAGTAAATAATCAGCCCAACTGATTTTAATATAGTTATCTATCAAGTTTGTTTAATATTAACTTATATGAGTAATTCCATTTCAATAGAAATAACAACGATATGAATGAGTGGAAACACTTCCTTCTTGCCATGTTGAGATGAACGACACGTTGAAATAAATGATATTCTGTTTAAAATATATACATACTTTTCTCATGTCTGTAGTCAGCACTACACGATGCAGTGTCAGCACGACACGCTGCAGTGTCGGCACGACACGCTGCAGTGTCAGCACTACACGCTGCAGTGTCAGCACGACACGCTGCAGTGTCAGCACGACACGGTGCAGTGTCGGCACGACACGATGCAGAACTACACGCTGCAGTGTCAGCACTACACGCTGCAGTGTCAGCATATCAGCATGACGTGGCAGGAATGCCGGAACATCAAACGCTCGCGAAAGCATTCCCGTTTCTGGAACAATAGTCATTATGTTCCCAAAATGGGAATTCTGATTGCCATTCCCGACTGCATTTGGCTTCAGCCGTCGCTAGCTGGGAATGACCAAAATCTAACCCGCGGCTTCAATTCAAAACCTAAACTTTTCCCCTGACCAAATTAATTTGAAATTACATGCTACATTTCATGTCAAATTCACCGTGAATATTCGCCGGTCTCAAAATAACGCGGAAAGAATTTCTAAATCCCGGAATACAGAACAGCAAACTCGTGTGAGGTCGGCACTTCAATGCGGGCTTATCAGACTGGGGCGGACTGCCGGGGGCGTTGCAATCATTTGACCCCCCGGGGCTTGTATCGTACAATTATTATTCTTAATTATTTAGCAATGAGGTGGCTGCGTCATGTTTATGATTTAAGTGGAATTGAATTGGATCATTTCAGTCTGCAATTTCGATAAGTAGATGTGTGGTTCATGTTCATGTTCATAGATATTCGCAGAACATGTAGTGCATGTTCTAAAAATTCATGTATACTTTCCCATTTGCTCGTTTTTATAATATCGTTTTTCCCATTTGCTGTTTTTTGTGCATATATTTTTGAAATGAAGTTATATTGTTTACTCACAATTCTAATACAAAAGCGAGAATACTGAATATTTATTGTTAGGTTTTACATAAGCGTTCTCTATACGTTGCTGAAAAATAACCTTCAAATGGGCAGGTTGAAAGACAAAAAGTTTTGGGTATATGTATTATTTGCTATTACGGATAATCTTCATCTTTGTCAACATTTTTTTTTCGATTAGCATGAAAATCTCGGCACAAACTTCGCACGGAAATTGAATTGCAACTTTGAGCGTGAGAACTTGCTTGAGATCTTTTAAAGTTTCCATGAGGTTCGATGACCAATTTAATCATGAATAATTGAATCATTGATCAGCCGCGGGACTTATTCATGCATTGTCGAGTCTCCATGAAGGCTACGTTCTTTTAATGGTGTTCGTTTTAGAAATCTTCGGCGGGTTATAGTTGGCCTCTGTTAGGATGACCGTGAATATCAATGGGTATTTTTAGTGAGTATTGAGTGGAACCAAGCAGGTAAATACCAAGCTATGCAAAAGTCAGGACTAACCAACGCCGCCGGACATTTCAAATGACATTTCGGTGACGCTTTCAACTGAGGACCGCATGCGAGTCAAGCGCGATCTGCAGGGCGAGATATTCGCTTGAATTTTAAATTCACTTAGATTTAGAAACCTCGTTTAAAGTGCACAATATTCACCTCGCAATTCACCTCGTCTAAAGTGCACAATATTCAGCTTATATATGAGGTTAAGTTCGAGCGTAGGATGTTCCAAAAGTCTACGATATTCACTTAAAAGGCTCGTTCAAAGTGCACACCATTTAAAGGATTCATGAGATTGCATTTGAAAGCACTGTGTTCTAAGGCTGCGAGGTTCACGTACTCGCTCCGTTTGTAACGCACAACTTAGTTTATTTAACGCATTCATGTAGTTTGATTGAAGCGTATGAATGTCATCTTAGGTCTGATATTCAATTAATAAACTT